ATCAGAATAGTTTCTAATTAAAATGTATTAAAATGCTGGAAATGTTTCCGCAGTTTCTTAAGGAGATGAGAAGCTTTTAATTATTGTTGTCAGGTACCTTACAACTTCTGCAAATTATGGAGAGTTATTGTGAACTCTGTAATAATTTTGACTGAGTTGCAGCAAGTCAGTGGCAGATAAGCCTTTAGTGTTACAGTCACTGCCGTACATGAATGATTTAGCTCTGCGTTGGATTATTTGATATTCCCCCATGAAATGGCAGATTATTTCCAAGTACCCTCTTTGAGAGCTTGGACTTTCTGGTTCTTAGCAAGAACGAAGGCCACATGCCCAGAGTGGCTGGTGGCTACTGTGGAATCTGCTGATATTTAAGCACCGAGCATTTGTTTTATTATTAATACTGAAGGTAAGAATTGTAAAATAAAGTGTTAAACTGCCTTTCCTCTGTAATTGCCCTGTCCTTGGGGGGATCATCTAATAATTTGTGATGGAAGTTGGACAAACAGTGACACCATTCAAAAAGAAAGAGAGCGTGTTTGCAGGCTCCTGTTTTGGCATATGGATTTTGAGATGATGGGTAAAAATCCTTAAGGGAGAGAGATATATTTTGCTATTTGCAAGTCCAGGTTTTCCATAGTCAGATGTTGACTACTGTGTTTTACCCGGGAAAGGAGGGTTGTTACTGTGACTCCTTGAGCTGTGGAAGAGTGTGGGCATGCTCCCCGTGACCCAATATATTAATGTGCTGAGTGTTACGTGGGAAGGGAAGGAAGGATAAAGAAAAGGAAAGGAAAGGGAAAGGATAAGGAAAAGGAAAAAGGAAAGGATAAGGCAAAGTAAAGGAAAAGAAAAGAAAAAGGAAGGAAAGGACCTATGGTTTTTTTTCTTATTGTCTCAAGTACCACAGTGCTATTATTTGCCCAAGCACGCATTGGAATGCTGCTGGTATTTTTGTTAGCTATGAGGAAGGGTTCCTGACTGCAGGACTTCGGGGTTTTTCTTTGAGTCTCATCATTTCTGGCCTTTAATAAGTTTGCTTTGTGTGTGTGTGGTGCTGTTTCCATTGTGCAGTCGTCTTTTGTTCTTTTTGAGGTTGTGGAGTTGGATCCGTGCAGACGTAGGGATTCACACCCCCTCCCACACCCTTCCCAGCACTCCGAGCTGCTGAGGTGTAGCGTTTTGAATAGCGTTGAATAGGTGGATTTGATTATAAATAGGATCTTGAAAAGTGAACTTCTGTGTTCAAAGAAGAAAACACAACACCGAAACAAAATACATTTACCTGTCAGTTATTCCTACATAATCCCTGTCACACAATTATTAGCCAAGACATGTAATGTATAGGAACTTTTCTCTAGCTCATTTCTTTTACTTGCTCAGTCACAAGCACAAAGTCACAAATAACAACAGTTACTCTAGCAACAGCCTGAGACAGACCTTTCCACAAGTTTAGAGGCACCGATTGCACATCTATTTTTTTTTTTCTTTGTCACAGAATTAGTGGTTTTCTAAGAGCGAAATCATTCTGTTCCAATGCCCCTGTATGGCACTGCTCCAGGTTCGCTTTCTTCAAAGGGCAGGTTTTTGGTTATTGCTGCAAACGATCCTGCTCGCTCCCTGGGACCTTGTGTCACACTTCAGCTTCAATTGTGTCAGGGTCTGGGAGTGAAAATTGTGGAGAAACCTTTTGTACCACTGTTCAGGTTGTCTACTCCTGCCATTTTTTTGCTGCCTTGGTTCTGTAATTTACGAAGGTGTCAGATAAAGCATGGGACACTTCTGTTTAGGTCACTGTGTGCACTCTATGGCATCAGGCACAGCACAGGACTCTCAAGAAGGTCCCTGGTGGTGCAGCATCACGTCTGTTATTTGGAATCTCTTGATCATGACTTGTCTTTGTAGAAGCACCTGCTCATTTAGGCTGTAAAAGTTGCTTTGTGCCATGCCAGGGGCAGAGTGAGTGTTTGGGTGTTGGGGACTGGAGAAACCAGGAGTGGGTATCTCCGTTGAGCTGTTGGGAATCTTGAGCACAATGAGTGTGGGGACCTTGGAGAAGCTCCTTAGGAGTTTGTATGTTGTGTTCAGGAATGGCTCTGCCAGAGCTCACTGCTGAAGGTGCCACCTTGTGAGAACCACCTTGTGGGTGTTAAATGGCCTTCTGTCTTAACTGTGGCCAGTACTAAACCAGTACTGTGGCCAGTAGTAAACCAGTACTGTGGTTTATTGGGAATCTCCTTGTGTGAGAACCATCCTAGGAACAAACCAGCTGCGTTTGCTTTGGGACTTTGAAAACAGGATCAAAGCTGGCAGGTAATTGCCCAATAAAGTGGGTCTGTTGGCTTTGATGCACTTGGGGAAGTGAGGCTTCAGAAGCCGGACTGGGAATTGCCCAGGGATTTATAATTGGGACAGAGTGAAGATGGAAGTGAATAGTTTTGTTTGAGATCTGCTCTCCCTGTTAGCCAGCAAATTTTCTTCTGCTTCACCAGTGTATGGGGCAGACCCCACAACTCTCTGGTTTCAGTGGAATTATTCTGTAGCTCTGCGTACTAAATTAGCCTGTAGGATAAGAGAAGACTTTGTTGATTAGTGTTAATAACATTTCTCTTTCTTAGTAGTGACCAGCTTCTCTTACAGTGCTCCTTACCCCAAGCCTTTAGGTAGATATCCCAGATGCCATCTGGTCACACCTTCCCAGGAAAAGTCCTCAGCTCACCCTTGGGGAGGTCTGGCGAGAAGGTTTTTTTGCTCTGTGTGCTTTGCCAGGTCTCCTGCCAAGTGTCTGGTCCCCTGCTTGATGAGCTGCTCCATGTCTCACTTGCAGACTTCCCTGTGATGCCAAGTAGTAGTTCCCTTTCCATCTCAGATCCCAGTTGAGTTCTTTGACTTGGATTCCATCACGCAGAAGGAGCAGCAGTGATTTTGCTGAAGTGAATGTTGGGCTAATGAAAAAGGGACAACTGAAACTGGAGACAGTGCCCTGGACAGATGTTGCTGCAGAATCGCAGAATGGTCAGGGTTGGAAGGAACCTCTGGAGATCATCCAGTCCAACCCCCTACCAGAGCAGGTCCCACAGGAACATGTCCAGGCAGGTTTGAATGTCTCCAAGGAAGGAGACTCCTCCACCTCTCTGGGCAGCCTCTTCCAGGGCTCTGCCACCCTCACAGGAAAGAACACTGGTTTGACTTCTGATGCTGCGTGTGCTGTTGGGAAGCAACCAAGGGGAGTTTTGATTGTGGATGCTTTTTGTAGATTTCTGTAAAGAAGGAAGAAGGGTGTTTCCCATCTAAGTGAGCAAGTCAGTTATATTAAGATACAAACTGGAGCACTGGTTTAGCATAATGCTTACACAGTATTGATAGATTTCTGGTCTGAATTCAAACTTGGCCAGTAACTGTGCTTCAGCTGGTTTCCGATATTCCAGTCACTCATTTAAACAAGAATGTAAGGTCAAACCCTGGTTTGATCTCCTGTGGAGTGGCACATTTTGAGTGTATATGTATACTTCTAGCCAGAGGGAAACATTACGATGATCTAATCTGACCTCTTCCATAAACTGGGCCACATGTGTTTGAGCCTTACAGGTGGACTCAATAACTGGTGATGAAACAGAAGAATACCTCTACAAGACATGAGGTTTCAATCTTGGATTGAGGTCTTTCAGTGGTGCCAAATACATCGCGCTCTTTGGTCATGTTTAAGAATGGAAGAACTTTTAAAAAATAATCCTAATTTCAACATGAAGCTTCTAGAGCTTGTGATTACTTGTTAGGCCTTTCATCAAACATCTTGTATGTGCCTGTAGATGGTGTTCTCTAGAATTCAACAGCCTGAGCTCACAGTGTCCAGCAGGGAGAGAGAAGGTTAGACATTTTATGTTTGCCATTAGTTTAATGCTGTATCAGCATTAATCCTGATTTTCCTACTGCCATTTTTCTCTCTTGCCCTCCCATGTTGTTCTTTCCTGGGGGGAGCACACCCATTACTTTATTAGTCCTTTCGTATCTTCTGATATCATAGACCATCTGACAACCTTTTCCTTCTGCCCTGTGCATGACATTTTTGGAAATCCAGGTTTGCTTGCAAAGTTGTTTGTTTGTTTTTTTTTTTATTAAAAATGGATTGATGTGTTGAATTGACTTACTGGTTGATGGTTATTATGTTGGCAAGCAAGATTTTATCAAAGTATCCCGAAGAAAGAAAGGGAAACTCTATAGCAGGCACAGACCGAGGGGATAAATCCACTTACTTTCAAAAGCAGCAAATGAATGGCCTGATACATCAACGAGAGAAATGGTGATAGGGTTACTCCATAGCAGATAGAGAATATTTTGGGGAAAAAAAGTAATTCTCATTACTTTGGGTTTGTGGTGATAAACGTAACTAAGGTTTTACGTGGAGCTGGCTAATTGTCCAATCTGCAGAAAAAGCTAGATACTGAGCTTTCTGAATTTACCTCATCGAAAAGGTCTATGCTGTAAGTTTAAATAATTTAAAAAATTGGAAGTAGGAGGTAGAATTACCAATAAACCAAATAACTATGTTGGAGTTCAGTCTTCTAGGGCGTTGCTTCCTTGGACAATTTTGTAAGTCTGAGTATCTTATTCTTGCCATCTGTCGGTTGGGGGCTGCGTATGGTGCTCTGAGATCCTTAGATAAACAATGTTGGAAGTACAAAAATCTGGTAAAGATGGTATAATGCCAGGTCCAAGCAGAGAGGTAGGTCGAAATGGTTTGGTACTTGACTGTCTTTATGTCTCGTTAATGTTTGCTTGTTTAAGGGTTGCAGTTTTGTTGCAGTTACAACAAAAACGGTGAATGTAACTTCGTGTAAGTGTGCAATGGGTACAATAAGCATGGCCAGCTAAAGCTGTACCTGACTCCTCTAAGGTGAACAGTTATTTTCATCACTCCTGTTGTTTAAATTCTTCCTTTTAAATGACACTTTGACATCTTTTGTATAAATTATGCATATTAATATAATTGTATTTACTTGTAGGTGGCTTTAACCAAGAGAGCTGATCCAGCTGAGTTGAAAACAATATTTTTGAAGGTATGTATAAAGTAAATATTTTACTCTTTTTGCTTAAATTTTTCATATCTTTTGCTCCTTTATTGCAGCATACAACTCTTGATAGTTTTTCCAACCATTAATCATTCACTGTATTATTACCATGTTAGACTTAAATACCATTATCAGAATTGAACAATGCTCACCAAGAAGTCAGATACATTCCTGAGTGATTATTGTATTGACTCAGGAGAAGTATTACTATCTTAGAGGGAAAAAAAACCCGCATTGTTCGGAGAATGTGGTGGGAGTTCCAATATTGTTCCTACCCATGGTAAAACGTTGGTGGAGACACCTTGCTGTTAGACCATTTGGAAAATTTTTCTTCTCCCATCCTTGCTTCCTTCCTTCCTTCAGGGACACCTCAGTTTGTAGAGATGTTGGGAAGATCACCTTGCAAAGTGGTGGCCGTATTTCTTGTTTAACTAAAATTCCTTCTGTGTTGGCCTGCCATAGACATCTGCAAGTAAAGAAATGACTCATGTACTTGCTTGTGGACTTAAAAGAAGTGTGCTTTAGTGTTTTGTTGGAAATTGGCTTTCTTTGAACCATTTCCTAAATTTAAATAGCTATTTATATAGTTTATAGCAGCCTTCCAATACTTAAAGGGGGCCTACAGGAGAGATGGGAAGGGACTCTTCCAGACTGAGGGAGTTGTGGGGGTTCAGCTGGAGAAGAGAAGGCTCCGGGGAGACCTTGGAGCCCCTTCCAGTCCCTCAAGTGGCTCCAGGAGAGATGGGGAGGGACTCTGGATCAGGGAGGGGAGCCGTAGGACAAGAGAGAATGGTTTTCAACTGAAAGAGGGGCTTCTAAGCTTCCTAAGATTTATTAGTTCAGTCTCTGCATTGGTTTGGTACTCTGATATGAAAAAAGAGCACAGAAATTGGGGGGTCTGGAGAGTATCGGTGAGGTAGGTGCCATGGTGCTGCAGGGAATTGTTTTATCTGCATTATTTTTGTGAAAGTGTTGGGTGCCTGAGGGAGCTCATGTGTTTCCCAGTTCCTCCTCCACCTTCCCTCTCTCCTGCATCGTGCCCTACTCTCCGTGCACTTCTTTGCCTGTTTTCCATTGTCCCTTGTGAGCTATTATTACCAGTATGTGTAGGTGTCACTATGTATATTGCCAGTATTTATAGTTTTATCATATACTGTCAGTATTTATAGCTCTGAAATCAGATTTTCAGTTGAGAAAGCCAGAATTTAACTTATTAAGTCCTGGAACTTGTGTCTGTCAGGAGAGGAAAAAGACTCTTGAAAAAGAGTTGGATAATGTGATTATCAGAGATAAATGCTTGAGGAAGAGGAGCAAGGCAGGAGGAAGGGCGGAGGGGGAGTAGACCACTGACCTGAGAGGGTGGTAGTGTTGGGGAAGGGAATAAACACAGCAGAGACAAGCACACTAAATACCATCTCCAGCTCCTTCTTCTTCCTTCTCTGCCTCCCCTTGTACTGAAAAGAAGGGGTCTTAATAAAGCAGAGTAATGAAATAGGAGCTAAACATTTCATTCAGTGTAATGCAGAGATTGTCGTGCCCCTTGCTACTGAGAAGGGAGAAGGATGAGTGAGTGTGGTCCCTTGTTTTGCGTGATGGCCACAGCGTTAATTAAGCTGCTTGAGGTGATTGTAAGTGGGGAGACCAGTACAGTTGCTTTTGCATATTGTGGGATCTTCACTTATAAAGTAACTTGACGGGCATTCTTTCTACATCGGTTGAGAATTAACAAATATGATTTCCAGGTAGGAATAGTACTCACTGTGTAGAAATGAATATGAAGCTACCAGTTTAAATATAGCTGATTACAGTCAATTTTTAGCATATTTAATACATCAAAACCCCAATAAAATGTTTGCAAATCTTATTTAAAATGGGGTTGAACTGGTTAATACTTGACTCTCTAAAATGTATGTAAATAAGTTACCAAAAAGCCATTAAGTACTATTGTATAATATCAAATTCTCTGTGGGTATAATTGCCAAACTGGGGAAAAATACAATTGTAAAGAACCAATTTTTTTTAAACGTCTCTCCTCCCAAACCAATAGAATTGATGTTTTTCTCTTTTTGTTATGATAATTTCCAAGAGTAACTCTACTTTTTCTAAGTCTTCTACCATAACCCCTAAGAGAGTAGATTTTCGTCAAAGTGATCAAGCTGACATTTTTCCAAGGTCATTTTCTATATGTAGTATAGAGGACGTGATTGGATTTCAAATCCAGTCGAGTAAATCACAATGACAAGAAACAGGGGGACACCGAAACCTTGTGCTGTTTTCTGTTATTGAGTGCCCTAGCGGGGGGTTAGCCCGCATGGAAAGAAAAAAAAAAAGAAAAAAAAGAAATAGAGAAGCACAGGCTGTCTGACTTATTTGATTTGTTTCTCGATAGCAGCTGTGTTAAAAGTTTCCGAGGCTGGGATTCTGAAAGATTCTGTCTCCCTGCAAATGATGACATTGAAATCAATTGATCTGGTAGTTGTTATAAAAGTAGACAATTGAGAATTCCGGGCGGTGTATCCACGAGAAGGCTCGCCTCATGAACAGCCTCTATTGAAATAAGAATCCTTAAATGCTATCCAATACATGGATGCCAAAGCAAGTTAGGTTTTGTTTGGGCTTGCTTCTGTGAAGCTTTGTTTCTCAGAGGTATTGCTGTACCTGAAGACTGTATTTATCCAGCACTAGAAGGAAATAATCTACTTTACTGTTAGACTTTGGCATCCCTCTGAGAGTTGTGTGCCTGCAGCAGGTATAACGGAGCTCTGCAGCCACCGACGTGGCTCCGGCAAATAAATATTGGGAGTTTGCTTCCCAGAGCGATGGAAAATAAAAACATGTCTCTTTGAAGTACGCCACAAAATAGCAATAGGCATCTAATTTATTTATTACTTGAGTGTGGATAATGCTCTGTGGGGAGCTGCAGCGATGGTTTATCATCCTACCTTGCCTTCGGAAAAATAAGAAATTAATAGTTGCTTTCCTGTTCTCAGCACACATTTGTTATCCCAAGACAGACCTGTTTCCCTTAAAGCTAACACATGATTCTGGAAATGATGCCTGAGATTTTTTCCTCCTAATTATTGTCCTTATCCTTTTCCTTTCCTTAAAAAACGCTTTTAGGGTTGGTTTCAAGTTTACCCTTTTACAGAAAATGCGGGCTTTAAACTTTGAGGGATTACTGAGGAATCAGGGGAAGGATGGTAACAAAGGCAATTTGATTTATTTACACATTATCTTCAAAATATTTTAATATTCCTTTCCCTTGGTATGCAACATGTTACTGGAAGCTTCCCTTGGGTGCAAATGTGCTTGTGGATAGCTGTTTTCTGGAGCAATGTGACAGTAACTCTGGGATAAGGCAGGAGTAATGTGTGCTGGTGGGACTTCTTTGCTTCTTCCTGCAGTGGGTTGAGCTGTCAAAGATCTTGTTTTCTGTTACATTTTTATGCAAATGCTATTTTCTGGCCTCCTTTGAGCAGTTCAACCGAGGAGGAGTATCCGTAGCTCCTCCTTTACTTACTGGCCTCCTTTGAGCAGTTCAACCGAGGAGAAGTATCCGTAGCTCCTCCTTTACGTAGGGACCAGCCCTGGCTGCAGGTGATGGGGTGAAGCTCCTACAAACCAGCACCCCCAGGTGGACACTCCTGTGGGACCGTTTACTCCTCTAGAACTGCAGTGTCACTGCATTGGTTAAACCTGCTCGCTCATCCCACAGCAGAACAGCTACACAAAGAGTCATTTCAGATAAATAAGATATGCTGGAGTGTCCCATTGCTGTCGGGGTTTCAGTGGGCCTGAGATGGCATTTTGCAAATGCATGTGTTCTTCTTAGAATCATAGAACCATAGAATGGTTTAGGTTGGAAGGAACCTTAAAGATCATCCAGTGCCACCCCCTGCCCTGGGCAGGGACACCTCCCACCACACCACGTTGCTCCAAGCCCCCTCCAACCTGCCCTTGAACCCCTCCAGGGATGGGGCAGCCACAGCTTCTCTGGCCAACCTGGGCCAGGCTCTCACCACCCTCACAGCAAAGAAGTTCTTCCCCACATCTCAGCTCCATCTCCCCTCTTTCAGTGTCAAACCCTTCCCCCTTGTCCTATGGCTCCCCTCCCTGATCCAGAGTCCCTCCCCATCTCTCCTGGAGCCCCTTGAGGGACTGGAAGGGGTTCTAAGGTCTCCCTGGAGCCTTCTCTTCTCCAGGCTGAACAAGCCCAACTCTCTCAGCTTGTCCCCACAGCAGGGGAGCTCCAGGCCCCTGAGCATCAAATTCTTGTTCTGCTTCAAAAAACCATTCAGTACTGGAGCATTTCTAGACTCCCATGGGGAATCTGTTGACATGATAAACAAAAAAAAAGGATATATCTGGCAGTTTTCTGGCTGGGAAGCTCATCAGCTGGAGCACTCCCCAGTCATCCTCTCTTGTTTGGGTGGAGGCTGTGGGTTCTTCAAAGCAGAACTGTCATCTGCTGTAGTGTAACCCTGCTCTGGATTGGAACCTTTGGGTGGTGGTAAGAAATGCCTGGAGAAGGGTGTATTTGAGGCACTAAATGTTGTGTTCATTTAACAGTATGCCAGTGTGGAGAAGAATGGCGAGTTCTTCATGTCCCCCAATGACTTTGTCACACGGTACCTGAAGATAATTGGTGATGGTGTGCCCAACGCGAACACGGTGCAGCTCCTGGCAGGAGTGGTGGACCAGACAAAGGATGGGTAAGTGGGGTGTTTTGTGTTTTCTTTTTTTATCATGTAAGTGGAAAGAGCAGAAACAATGTTTTGGCCTGCAGGTACCATTTAGCTGAGCAAACCGTCTTCTGTCTGCTATTTATTTTTAATCCGTTGACCCTTTCATGTTTGTTGGCTGGCTCCCCTGGCTCCTGCTTTTTCTTTCCTTCCCTGAGTCTTTCTGTCTCTGTTTACTTTTCATCTGTCACAAACACATTCAAATAGCAATCCCAAATAAGTTTAGATGGTGTAGGAAGAGATCATAGAAAAAAAAAAAAAGTGCCCCCACTAGCGCTTAAAATTTTTGCCACTGTTTTTTTTCCCTTAAGAGGGAGGAGGAGCAAGGAAGGTCTTTAGGGAGCCGCTTTGGGAAGACAGGGGTGAGGTTGGGTGCACATGGTTTGCATTTGAAAGGCTGACTTTGCCAATAGGCAAGATTAGCCACCCCTCAGTCTGCCTCCCCCGTTCTTCAATGAAATCCCAGCTTCTGCTTTTGGTACTTGCCCAGGCAGGCTGCCTCTTCACCCGTATGAATGCTTTTTTTATTTTTTTTTTAACTCTGCCTTTAAAGTATCTATAGAGAAACTTTCAGAATAAGTAGCTATGGACTTAAAGTCTGGAGTTGTGGCATTTTTAGAAACCAGCAAACTTCAGGCGTGACTCACATTGGTGGTTGCAGGGAGTAAAATGTGAGATAAATAAAGCATGAGTAGAGAATGCAGGCTTCCTAGGGAACTGGGAACCTTTGCTGTCTTTCCTGTGCTCTCTCTTTCCTGCTCAGCCAGTGCCATGTATTGGACACCTTAGACCTTGCAGATGAGTTAATGTGATGATTGTTACCCCTGGTAAAAGACTTGTGTAAAAGGCTGTGTTGGTGACACCAGCCTGATGGCAGCCAGAAAGCAGTGGCTTCAGATGGCGTTTGACTGAAAACGTTAAAACATTTATCAGATTCCTTCCCTTTGGTTTGGTGCCTGCGAAAAATGGCATTTTCCAAATTGCGCAGCTTCACATGTATTTTGTAATAAGGAGATTGAGGGTATAATCCATACCTCGTGATTTGGATCTGCCTCACAAGCAGAAGCTGGCGTCAGGAGGAGCAGAATGGAGCTTACGTGAACTTGTTGACGAGTTGGGATTTCATAACTTGGCGTGATCCTGTAGGAGGTTTGCGGTGTGGTATTTGGGGCTTCTAATTGCTGCTTTCTGCCGCCGGTGAGGATCGTTCCTTCAGTCTGGACTCTGCAGTGACAGGGGACTGCGTGTCCCTAACACGACTGGGGAGAGTCTCTCTGGGGTTTAGGCTGTCGTCCTGTTTAGCCTCTGTGCTCATATGTGAAAGAACAGAGAAGGCTGAGGAGGTGATTGCCATCCATCCCTCTCAAACCTGGCACTGTAGTGTTTTTGCCGCGTGCCCAGGCATTTGTCCCTTGTTCTAGCAATGTGTAAAGGAATTTGCAGGGTGATTGTCTGAAGTGAGGGTCAGTCGCTCGTTGGTTCCTGGAATGAAATCTCCGAGGGAAAGCAATAGGAGCTACTATTCTTCTATAGAATTCTTTCCAACTTGGCAGTCCAGAACTCCTCGTTTTAAAGGGAAGCACAAAACTGCTTTTGTGAGTGTTCATTTTTAACAGGCTGGTCATTGCTTAGAAACTGACGTGTTTAAGCTCATGAAAGTTTTTTCAATAGTTTGGCTTTATTTCTAGCAGAAAATAGAAGGCAGCTTGCAAGAGCAATGACAAGTTAATTTTTTTATAGTGTTAGTGCCTTAAAGTAGTGCGTTTCTGCAAATATCCTTAGAAATATTTCTAGAAGAATTTATCTGTCTCTTGGATCCCTGCTTTGTTCTGAAGAATCATCTGTTCTTCATGACTGGTGTGACCACTCTTCACTAAGAGTCTGAGTCCAGAAGCACCGGGGTTGTTTCTAACACTTTTTTAAAATGCTTTTTAATTCCTTCCTCTTCACTAAGAGTCTGAGTCCAGAAGCACTGGGGTTGTTTCTAGCACTTTTTTAAATGCTTTTTAATTCCTTTTGATTTTGGGGAGTAAGTTAGGTGTAGGTACCAAGTGTAATCCATGAGAAATACTAAAATGGGTAAGTCACTCGGGTGAAAGACAGACGGCAAAAGAGCTTCTAGCTCATGAGCAGAGCAAATAAACGGGCAAAGAGTTGCTTCCCTCAGGGCTGAAGAAGGTCCTGAGTGTGAAGTGTAAGGAACAGTAGATCCTACGTGCAGTCTCACTGAGGTTGCTGTGGAAAAAAATCTCTCGTGTAGCTCTAGCACGATTCCTGCATTACCAGAGGGTAAGGATTTGAGGGTGTCTGCAGGAGCTGCTGGTGGTGTGACAGAGGTATGAGACCTCTTAAGGCAAACTGTCATTTAATGAATCTCTGTTGCCATGGGAGCAAGTTTTGCTTCTGTCTTAAGTCATGGCATGGGGTTATTTGAAGGTGTGCTAGATTTTGATGGGATGTGAGGAAGAACTTGTTTGGTGTGAGGGTGGTGAGAGCCTGGCCCAGGTTGCCCAGAGAAGCTGTGGATGCCCCATCCCTGGAGGGGTTCAAGGCCAGGTTGGAGGGGGCTTGGAGCAACCTGGTGTGGTGGGAGGTGTCCCTGCCCAGGGCAGGGGGTGGCACTGGATGGGCTTTAAGGTCCCTTCCAACCCACACCATTCTATGATTCTTACAAAGGCATCTTTTTAAAGTTTACTTTAAGAAAAGGAGATGTTTTTCTTGCCAATGGCCAGAGAAGCCTTGCAAAGTAGTCAATTGGTAATAACACAGATTTTTTAAAAGTATTATATCACGTGGCTGTAGCTTGTATGAAACAGGCTTAAGAGCCTTGGCTGGTTCCTGGCCTTAAGCTTCTTGTTCCTAATTTTAGTTCCAAAAAATGCTTCACTTGGCTTCAGGTGGATCAGAAATTCCCTGAAAATACAGTGGCTTTCTCAAGGCCTGTCAGCAACAGGCCGGGCATTTTCCATCCTGCCTGTTGTAATGTATTGTTTTTCAGTCTTTTGTTGTACTTTTAAACATCTGTCTAACAAAATAAGTATTTACTGTGGATGTCTGTTTGGACTGTAGTAACTAACACTTTACTGAGAAATACTGTATGCTTTATTTTTAGAAAGGACAAACTATTCAAAAATAACACTTGGAAATGCCAGCATTTCCATTATTATTGGATATAAATTTATCCTCTAATGCACCAATTTACCCTATACTTAGTTTACCCAGGTTGCAGCATAAAATAATAGATGTAGCTTCAATTTGTGTCCCATTATGTTATCATGCTTAAATTGCTGATACAGTAAAAACATATGCATTGATTTCTGAAGAAACCTCCTCATCATTGCATTTGTGTGTGTTATTACAGTGGGTGATGGCTTTTATTCCCTTTGCATGGCGACACGTGGGCTTGCTCTGGTGGGAAAGCGTCGTGTCTCCCTGGTGCCCAGGTACCACCCATGTGAGCACCAGAAGAAGCAGCCTGGGAGAAAGCAGGGAGTGGAAAATAGTGGGTTTTGCTCCACCGTATCCAGTTGTTGTGTTGAGACTGTAGCTCTTGGGTATTTGTTTTTAAAATGCCAAAAATTCAGCCTTCCTGAATAAATGATGCAGTATTAGCTCCGATGATGAGGATGTGAAGGTGAAGGAAGGCTGTGACCAGTCCGTAGGGTATCTTGAAGTAAAATCTTGTAAACATTTCAGCTTCCTCTCTTTGTTAAAGGGGAAATCACTGTTAAAATCACTGGGCTTTTTTTTCTGCTTTTGTAACATAAATGAGCATTTGTTTAGGTAGATAAATTAACTCTTAAGTAGTATATTGAAGTCCATGTTAATATGTGCTGTTTAATGACACCTAATGATATTCAGCCAAGGGTTACGCTAAACCCAAAAGGGTGATGCTAAACCAGAGAGAAAATGTGTTACCCAGGCAACTACCCTTGTGCAGCACAGAGAAGTGAGCATATGGCTATGTAGTACACATTATTTCAGCATCTTTAAGCATTAAGAATCACACGTGTAATTGACTGTGAAAAATTACTGCTCAGTTACTGTATTGTACGGTCATAATAGAAGTAAATGAATACGTCATTGTTGTTAGAATAGATCTGTTGGGAATCACTAGCAGGCTAGTCTACTTAGGGAGCAAAAATACAATAAGAAGAAAATAGCTGGTTTAATTAACATGTAAAAATTGGGTTAATTTGAATTCAGCTGGCACAGCAGATATTAATGTCTCTTCTTTAACATTCTGGCTAGAACCACACAATTTGTACACTTTTAATCTTCCTAGTAATATGAATAATTGTTTTTTAAAATGGATACGGGGTTATTTTAAGAACCTCTCTCTGACTTATTAAGGGGGTTTATTACTTGCCAGCGCTGACAAAGAATGCTTCTGCCAGTATAAAATCTTGTAGCAGTGCTAATACATGGAGGTTTAATCAAATCCAGGTCTGAGAATATAGAATAGAGGAAGACAGAGTATATTCTTAGCGTGGTGCTGGGATTCTGCAGGTCTAGGTGCTGTATTTCTTTTATGTGCTCTCCCCCCCGTGTTGGGATCTGTTGGTAAGGACATATTCTGGTGGCTGTTTCACAGAAAAAAAATGGCTTTATCAAAATGGTGCTGGCAGAGATTTTACGTTTTTAATTCTAAACAATCCCATTATAGAGTCTTGTTGCCTCCTGTCTATTTTGTTATTTCTACGTGGGGGCTTTGCAATCTTTGGGACAGCAGAATTCCAGGCTTTGTACCTGTTTGCTGTTGTGGAAGTTGTCAGATGTGTAACCAGCAGTAATGGAGAATAATGAGCTTTTACAGCCTGTAAGTCACAGAGTAACAATAAATCTGCATAAATGCAGAACTAAGCAGGTTGTGATATATTGGTTTAAAACTGAAGGAAACGTTGTGTTTTTAAAAATTTCTTTTGGCTTAGGAGAGGTGGAAGTTTTCTTTTAAAGGCTGAGATTCTGCGTGTTGTGTCTCCAACAGTGGGGAGCACCCAGAGCTCCCCAGGAGCTTAAAATACACGACTTTATGTGTGAGAAACTGGCCCTTACAGCATGCTTCCGTGGTCACTGGCATTATCAGTTGTGAGTTTAATGAGTTTAATATTAAGAATACCTGAGGAGGTTTCTTTTTATTTATTTCTCCCACTACATAATGACCTATGGGAGCAAGTTCCCAGAGCTAATTATTTGTTAGTCTATTACTGACTCTATATATGCTTTCTTTTATTTAGTGCCTATATATTGAGGGAGGTAAAGCAGAACAGTTTTTTGACCTTCTCCCTGCCATACTCTTTCTAAAATGTCCTCTTTTGTTCATCTCACGTTTTCATGTTCTTCACAGAAATGGGCTTCTGTTCCCCCGTGGCTGTTTTGCTGCTGCTGAGCAGCGAGCGTGCTTCTCTGTGACTTGAAATTCATTCCCTTGAGACAGGGTGACTGGAAATTGCTGTATAGTCATGGGTCGTCATAACTTGATGGAAAGAATGTCTTTTCCAACCTGTTCACTTTGTTCTTCACTGCTGTCGTGTACCAACTGGAAGTTTTCATTGAAGGGACTGCAGTGTCATGTTGAGTCCAAGCCCTAAGTTAGTTTCTAATATAAAAAAACCCCACAATTATTTTTTTGTGTGCGTTTCTTGACATTTGTTACGCTGAATTTTGTGCTTCTCAAAAATAAATCTCTGCCATGTGATCCCATTAAAGCTCTGTGCCCGCTGCACTGACAGAAAGCAGCCTTGAGAGAGGGCAGTCGAGAACCTCCTGGGCTGCCACTGCCCCACAACCACGTATTTGAAGATGATTTTAAACTCTGCAACCAAGACATTAAAGAAGTAGCAAACCAGAAGAATGGTTGGCCTTTGCCTCTTTGAGAATGGGAGTTTTTGATCTCCAGTTGAACTCTTGGGCGTGACTCAGAGAAATGAGAACTGCTCGGGGTCTTTGCTCTATCAAATCTACTGCTGGAAACAATGCCAAGTTGTCTAATTATCTATTTCAGCGTATTAACTACCTTAAGGAAGGGCACCTCAGCTTTTATCTGAGCTCTGCTACTGTGCTTGCATAGGGATCTTAAAGCCCCCCCAGTGCCACCCCCTGCCCTGGGCAGGGACACCTCCCACCAGACCAGGGTGCTCCAAGCCCCCTCCAACCTGCCCTTGAACCCCTCCAGGGATGGGGCAGCCACAGCTTCTCTGGGCAGCCTGGGCCAGGCTCTCACCACCCTCACACCAAACAAGTTCTTCCCCACATCTCAGCTCCATCTCCCCTCTTTCAGTGTCAAACCATTCCCCCTTGTCCTATGGCTCCCCGCCCTGACCAAGAGTCCTTCCCCATCTCTCCTGGAGCCCTTTGAGGGACTGGAAGGGTCTCTAAGGTCTCCCCGGAGCCTTCTCTTCTCCAGGCTGAACCCCCCCAAGTTAGACATTAAAGCCAAGGTGAGTAGCCACGCTGACCTCTTTCCTTATTTGATGTTCTGCTGTGACTTCTATTCTATTCTATGACTTACCAAGAGCAATAGTTCCTTGTTCAGCAAAGTCTTTTCCATCCAGGCCTCCTGACAGCGTTGGTGATAGGGCATTTTAGGATAAATTTTAATCCCTGTTGATAACATCTTGTACACATTTTGTTTGTGATCTTATTTCTTTCATATAATCTATGACACATTGTATTTCAGTGTTCTGCAAGCACATGGTTTCATAGCTCTTGCCTTTTCTTTCATCCCTCAGGTTGATATCCTTCCAAGAGTTTGTGGCATTTGAATCAGTCCTGTGTGCTCCAGATGCGTTGTTCATAGTTGCCTTTCAGCTGTTTGACAAGACTGGCAAAGGAGAAGTTACTTTTGGTAAGGCTGTTCTTAAATGTACACTCTTAATTTAAAAATCCCTACTCTATTTCACCTCCAGTTGCTGTAGGGAACACGGTGACGGGTGGCAGAACCACACAAGTGCCAAGCAACTTTCTGGCCAAGTTTTGTAGTCATTTACACGAGCACAATATGGAGTCAAGCTCAGGGTCATCTTCATGATGATGGTTTTCTCTGGAGAGCTGGTCTCTTGGCTTTTTCTCTTCCCCAACATGCTCGTGCAGGTCTTCAGAGCAGCAGTGAAAGGTGACCCTAGGAAATGATTGTAAAACCGCAAGAAAGTTGCCAGGAGACTTGGGTGAATGTGGAGCCTGAAATTACCCTGAATTATTTTTTGTTTAAATTGGCTATATTTCAAGCTGGCTTCCTTTTAAGGCTTAAAAATTTCTTCTGTGAGATTTTACAGTAATAAATCCATTATTACCAGCCTCCCACCTGCCTCCTCCCTGAAAATTCAGGAGGTGTGGTGTTTGCACTGACAATACGGGAAATACTCAAGCCAGTTTGAAACTTGATTATGGGGCCTGTTTCTTTCTAGATACCATAGAGCCAGCTTTTGTTATCTGCAGGACTGTCTGCCACCTGCCTGAGGGTGAGGGCTGTGCTGTCTCAAAGGATTCAGAAATTAGCAGTTTTGAATAACTTCAGACATTGAGCTTGCGCTTCAAAAAGTGTGGGGGGGATTTTTTTCTGCCTAAATTCCTACATTGGATAAAATTGCTATTTGTCATCTGCTGCGTTTGGATGTGGTTATCCAAATGTCTCAAGTTTTATTAACTGGTTGTTAAACGATTTTAAATAAAAGGAAAGTTGGATGACATTGACTCTTTGTCTTTCCAAAATGTACAGTTCACACGTCCTTTGTTTTTTGCTTTTATTCCCCACACATGGTTTATTCTCAGATTAAAAAAGCCCTTCCCTTTCCATTTGAACTGAGAAGATCCCGGTACTGTTGCTTGCAGCATCATTGTATTCCTTCTACTGCCTCCAAAAATCCCTATTTGAAGTTGCGGCCAGCGAAAAGCCTTGTGTCTGCTTCAGTTTTTCATTATTTTGGGTTGTTTGTTGAGGTTGTGAAAGATGTGCCTTTTGTGTGCAGCATTACCTGCTGGAACGGCTTTTTAAAAAAAATTACTACGGATGCTAAGAGATTTGAAAGAATTTCGGGGGAAAAAAAGCTCTGCTGATCAGAACCTGGCTGAAGGAAGTATTTTGTGCCTGACAGTCTGGTGCGTGGACAGGGAGGCAGGGAGAGCCCACAGGCTCTGAAATGGGGAGGCCAGGCATATTTTGCAGAGGTTTTGTTGCAGCGCAGACAAACGGGGTTCCTGGAATGCCTGTGATGTGCAGGTTCTTGTCTGCGTCAGAGCCCCCACCTCCCCCCCCCCAGGTTGCTTGGAGCAGCTCGTTAATAATCTCGGAAGAACCTGGCAGTCGTTTGATGTGAAGGCTGAATCAGCCCCACTTAACTTTTTAACTCTTGGCGTTCCTGTTGGTATTTTCGTTGCTGGGGTTTGACACCGTGAGTCAAGGGATTTGTTTGGCATTTGGAGCCCATTGACGTCCTAGCGATGAGAGAAACTCCTGTGCCAGGCTGTAGTTAAGGTATTTGGAAGAGGAGACGTGCCAACGTTGGCAGAACCTCAGATGGCTTTTTTTTTTAACATTTCCTTCCTCTCCCCCTTTGAAAGGACAAATGGGTTTGTGACTCCCGTGTGGTACCTTGGGGCTGCCCCCCTGGCAGCACCTGGGGTGAGGAGGATGCGAGGGCTGGCTTGGTGGTGTGCCTTCTCAGCAGAAACAGGTGACCTTTGAAGAAAGCTAGTTTCTATTTTCTATCCTAATAAAAAAAAAAGCTTTTTTCCCCTCCTAGTATGAAAGAAAAAAATCCTAATATTTTCCTGACTAAATTATTACAATAACATCCTGCAACTTTGCCGCTCAGAGCCTCAGTCATGAGTCTTTGAGGTTAATTATGAGATCTTTTTCCATTGACTTGAATGGGAGTGGGATCAAGTCCTTATCAAGGTTAGGAGACTTAAATAGGGGTTTTGTGTACTGTGGAATTACAGTGTGAAAGGAAGAGAAGAAAAGGGAAAGGATCATTTTTCACTCTGCTGCTGTTAAGTGTAGTATCTCAAGGATCCCATTATAAGTCTGTATCTCATTTTATTTTTGTAAAGAAACAGCTTGGCTTTTCTGGGCAGTCATTGTTTTTTCTGTACAGGGAGATAAAGGTATAAATATTTTAGATTATACCAAATAGAATGCAGGGCTTCACAGACGTGAACTTTGCATTTTCTACTAAGCAAATCATCTAAATCTTATTCTTCCCCGGGTGCACTTAGCTTGGCACCTTTGTAAAACAGATTAATAATGGGCTTTGCAGCAATGAGCTTTTACACTGAATCCTACATCCAGGCTGTGGGCATTTAGAGAAATGTTCTGGGTAAAGAAGTACCACTATTTAATACTTTGCACTTCCTTTTCTTGAAAAATGCTGCTCTCTTACTTTAAGCTTCTGGGATGGAAACACCTTCGCATTTTAGCCGTATGTTGACATCTCTATGATTTTAAATGTTTTAATTTATTTCAAGTTGGAAGTTAAGGGTGCCTGGTTCCGTCATGGAGCTGGTTAAAGGGGCTGATCTGGCAGCAGTGTGGGTACGTGGCCGGGGGCAGGGGGGTGAGAAGAATTTCTGAATTTATTGCTTTTCCAGGCGAGTGAAATGGCCACCAGTAAATCAGTGGGCAGTGGCTGACTGAGACTACACCTGGCTGTGGCATCGTGTCCCAGATTTATCTGCTGCTGAAGTGTCAAAGCTTTGACAGTTTGCAAGGAGTTAAAGCTCTCAGCAGGAAAGTGGGAGGAAGTTTCGCTGGCTTTTAAATTCCAGGCAAAGAGCAAACCATTGCTTCTTACTGTTGAGTGTTGACAGGCACATAAAAGCTGATAATGTAAGTCCAGGGGTTTAAGAGACTTAGTAGAGTTGCTTTTTTGTCGTATGACTGTATTTTAATGCCTCATTAAAGAAGCAGAGCCCTTTGAAATTCTTTACTAGATGGTGTTTAAAGAAAGGCGAGATGGTTGGGTAAAAATGTCAGTGTTTAAAAAACTAAGTCGTCTTAACCTCCATCTCTAATTTTGGATGGATAAATGAAATGATGGGAGGTAAGAGTTCTGAGCTGTGAATAACACAGCGGTGATAGCCGGGGACTGGAACTTTCCTTTTCTTATCCCAGTTCTCACAGCCCTCGTGAAGGGCAAAATGAGTGTTGTCCACGTTGCTTTTTGCTCACAGAGAAAGGAAAGGCACGAAAAGAGATGGAATTGCCCCAGTCTCTGCTGCCAACCAGTGCTGAACCTGGCTTTGAAGATTTTCATTCTGATTTGGTTTAAAGTAGAATTTCCCACCAGACAGAAATTCTTGCTCTCAGACTTGGTTTAGTCTTTGGGTGTTTGTTGTTTGTTTTTGGGTTTTTTTTAAAGTCCTTTAATTCATTCTGACGTTGTTTCAAAATGGATGCTGTGCTGTGCTACTGTGGGAAATGTGAGTATGCTGTAAAACAAGTCAGTCCTTTAATTAAAAAAAAAAAAAAAAAGAAAAAGCACAGCATAACACAACCCCCAAACCCAGCAGAAATGCGAAGGGAATGGGGAACCCAAACCCAAAATTGTTGCTTGTTTTGCGTAACAGAATGGAGCGACGTGTTCTCCTTTTGTCTCAAAACAAAACTTTATTTACATGTAGACAGCAGCTATTGTGGGGCTCTGCTTCTGGTATTAATTATATCAGTACGGTTCTTGGATAAGCATATTAATTAAGGATACATCTTACTAGCACTCCTCTTTGCTTATCCGATACTTGAGTTGCCTGAACACTTGTTTATAAACTTTCTAAAAGCACTTGGCTCTTTCCAGAGGTTTGAATAGCCTTTATGGTGAGCTTCAGAGTTTCTCCTCTGCGATAACGCTCCAATATTTTTCCAATATGCAAAGAATTATTACAGGAGTCTTATAATTGGCTCTTCTCGTGGGATCTGTAATTCTGGTTTTTCCCTTGCACAAGCCCTGGCTTAGCGATACCCAGCCTGGTACCATGCAGAGCAAGGAAAAGCCAAACCCAAACTACCAAAAGGAATTGTTGAGGCTGTAACTTTGATCTCTAATAAATCACAATATTCTGTATTTCTCAGTGAAATTTCCGTGGCTGGTTGGAATTGGTTAGAAACCGTGTAGCGCCGTGTTAGCTCCCACCTACACACCGAAAGGCTTGGTGGTTTATAAATGGCAGTTGCCTAGAGATGATGGTCCCAACGGCAACATTTCACATGAAAAATTTGTTTAGTCTCTGATGTTTTTTTGTGGTTTGTACTGGATTTTGCACAAATAAATGGCCAGTTTTAATTAAAAGAGGATGTAAGGTAGACTTGTTAGTATATTTATTTTCTTCAAAACAATTTTTGAAATCTTCTTGATACAGTTTTCATTTCTAGACATATGCCTACTGGGCAAGTTTTTCTTGTTTTGTTTTTTCCTTTAACTAAACTGTTATGTAGCCAGGCAGACTGAAGGCATCTGAAGTAAAACAAAGCCTGTTTAGTCACAAAGTGAATCTCTCATTTTAAATATTAGGAAAAGCTCCATCCTTTCACACAGTTGTGTTTCGTTTGGTCTAGAAAATACAATTGAGTTTTCTAAGTCATCCAAAACTGAAATTTCTTGTTTGAGTTTGTTCTTTGTTGTTGTTTTTGTGTTGTTCTGTTTTTTTTTTCTTTTTTAAAAAAAATCAAAGTTTCCTACTGACAAACACCAGGCTGAAGGCTGAGCATGTCTCTTGTTCAGTACCAAAACCCAAGGAACAATCAAACAGTTGAGGTTTAATTTGGAAGGGACCGTGGTAGCCACCTGGTTCAAAGCCTTGCAGGACCATCAAGATCAGGTTGCTCAGGGTCAACATCCAATCAGGATTTTATCT